AAGTTTTCATACCTAATAGCATGAGTATATTTAAAGAAGTAGCTTGGTTACTGATCAGAATTGTTTAAAAGCTTTCTTACCTGGTAGCTTGAGTATGTTTACACAAGAATTGTTTGAGTTGCCAATATTTTGCTGTAACTTTTGAATCTATGACAATTTAATTGGAACAGTTAGCTTTAGTTGATGTGTATTTCATAACCACTTGGATAAATGCATTTTGAAATGAGAGTGTTCTATGTAATGTGTTTGCAAATGTCAGACAGATAATTTACTAATTTTAGTTTAGTTCATGTTGTTGTCATTATACATACCCAACTGTGTGCACTTCATAAATTCAAAATTCGCTCAACATGGTTGGGTCTCTGTTCCCTCGTACATGTTTTATGTTAAAAAGCTTCTGTAATTTCTTTTTCTTTCTATTTTTAAGTTTCGTATGAAGTTTTGTTGTTTAATAAATGATCATATTGAAGTAATGAGAAACAAAAACAAAGGGAAATATGTGTAAACACCACAGGGTCATAGAGACACCAGTAGACAAATTACTGCAAGAGTAATATAATTCAACTGTGTAAAATAGTTCTGGATCCACTGTGTGCACACACTGTGAAAGCCTAAAAAGTAACATAATTGTTGATGTAAACAATAGAAATGTAGTCCTAAAAACCACTGGAAATACATCCTTTTTTTCACGTTAACCCTCTGGACACAGGTAGGTAAAAGTCCACATAGCACATCCTTTTACAGTGTTACGTTCAAAATTTAATTAAACTACTTTATTATCAGTGTGTATCTGTGAACTTGACATCAAAATGTTAATGAATTAGATTTTAACACCATGTAAGTTTTAAATTCAAAAGGATATATTCAAATAAAATCTCAATCTTCACTTCTGTATATCACGTGACACTTGTTCCTTTCGATTTACTCAATTTAGATATTCTTTCCACCCCTATTTGAGCTTCTGGGTTTTATTACAGACTTATAGTATAGGTATTTCAAAGACATAATCTAATTTGATAGCCTCCAGTCATATTGATTTACAGAAATATAAACCAGAAAGTCAAACCCTCATACCACACTTTCCTCTCACATACTGTCTTTCAAAAATATGTCACTAGTTCTTTCTGGCATTTGCAACACATTATTTATAACCAAGAGAAAGAGATTTTAATTTACTGAATTACATGATTAAATAGCTCATTCTCATAACAGTTTTTGAATTATTCAGCCCACAAAGTTGAAGTTGCTATCGCTGAGTTCACTTCAACCAAGTAAGGGAAACATTGTAATGAATTTGTAGCTTAATCACAAAGCTAGTTAAATTATAATAGTTGTAGGACATTCTTTTCTTTGTGCATGTTATTATTTTGTATTTCTAATTAAATATTTGAAATAAATAAAAATTCAGTAAAGTACCAACAGCAATCTTACCAAAAATTAAGGTTAATTTTTATTGAGACTTCAATGACAAAAAAGTACAAGACCCACATAAGTACTAAATTTCTTGTTTTTTTATGTATGTTTTTTTATCTATTGTTATAAAAGTTAACTAAAATGTAAAAATTAGAAACTTATTAAGTTAGATAAGAGAATAAATGAAAAAAATTTAATAAGAAAAATTCTTAGCAAGGTATACGTGCAAGCTGCACCTGCTTTATGTAATTCAATACTTTGTTTTATCATAACTTAATCCATTTTCTCACTGAGTGTTTATAGCTTTTTTAAGCACATTTAGTACTTGACACTTCAAAGAGCAATAAAACTAAATAAAAACATATGTAAACTGTTACAGCCCGAGGCTGTTTAGGAAAAATATTTGTAATTTCCTCTTAAAATCTGCAGTTTATTCCAAAAAGAAAAAAGTAACTTAGATTTATTTAATTTTTTTTATGTTGGTTACAAGGTCTGTAAAATGGACAGCCTGTATAGTGTTAAGGTAAAGAAAATAACAGATAAAACATAAAGCTTTACTGAAAAAAACTTTCAATATTTATGTAAGAGGTCCTAAAGGTTATGCAGATGAAATTTAAAAACTGTCAGATAGAAAAAGTATTTTTAATCTTAACTTTGCTCTAATTAGATTAGTTAGAGTTTGAGTCAGAGTATGATTCCATAAATTCACAAATGATCTTTAGTAAAAATACTTAATTTAAAAAATCTGATTTTTTGTGAGGATATACTTACTACATTAAAAATTATGGTACACATAGTTTTGTGGTTATATGGTGGTTAAAAGGTTATTCAAAATGGCTAAGTCCTTATACAAGGAGCTAATCACAAGATTCTTTCTTAAAAATAGTAAAAAGCATCACATCATGAAAATAGTGCGAGGTACCATCCATATAATTAAGTATGCAAAAATATTGTGAATTCTTTTCCCCCTTATCTACTTCTTCCATAGCTTTTTCCCGTATCTATATGGGGTCACTATTTTCGGTTTTGGCAGGGTTTTTAGGGCCGGATGCCCTTCCTGACGCCAACCATCCCCTAATTTAGCAGTGTAAGACTAGAGAGAAGGCTGCTAGTCATCACCACCCACCACCAACTCTTGGGCTACTCTTTTACCAACGAATAGTGGGATTGACCATCACATTATAACGCCCCCACGGCTAAAAGGGCGAGCATGTTTGGTGGGATGGGGGCGCGAACCCGCGACCCGCAGATTGCGAATCGAGCGTCTTACCCACCTGGCCATGCCGGGCCTTTCCCCCTTATCTACTAATGTAACCAATGACAACATCCCTCATGTGTACATACACATCAATGGTATACTAAAAGGCCAAATAATTACAAATTTCAAAATGGATAAAAAATGTTTTTATTGTGCTTTTAAAAGTTGCTTTGGGTTGTAAAACACTAAATTTGTGTTTAGAAGTAAGAAAATAATACATTGCTAAAAAACAACAGGAAACAGAATTAATAAAAGCATCTAAACTTGAGTGAACAAGTGCTATATAGCCATCAATGAGACATTTTGTCACTATTAGACCTCAAATTCCCTCATATGGAATAAACATCTCGCATCGCTGGAATCTGTAAAAATCAGCCAAGAAAGAAAATATAGGGGTTGGACAGAAAAAGTTTCTTAGCACATATTTAAAGACCATGGTGGACAGTCATTTGTCATCATGGCCACGTATGACTCCTGCATCAAAGGTAGCAAGAGAGTGGTTTGGGCATTCATTGTTTAATGGAGCAACAACATTCTGCATAAGGTTCTTGGAGTATTCAAGCTTCCCACAAGCAGCACAAAGATGGAGCTGGAAGCTATAAAGCAAGATCTCAGAATACTGAAAGCAAATATACAGCATCACCAACATAACATTTTCAACTGACTCACAGGCAGTATCTCATAAAATTCAGTGGTTGGTTGATGAATGGCAGAGAGCAAAGCATCTCCATGGTAAGACCCAGTTGTATGTATCAGCCTTGCAGGAGTAAAGCTAAACGAGGAAGCTGATGATCTTGCTGAAGAAACTCATTTATCAAATCCAGCACCACTCTCCTGGCAGGTTTATCCTCTGCACTAGTATGGTGAAAGCAACAATCATGGAAGGTCATCTTCGACATTTAGAGAGAGATTGAGACTGCTGGAAAACAAAGTACCTTATGGTTTAGCTAGGGAAAGCAAAAGATGTGGGATCAGAAGAATAGTATACAGAAAGAAGACAACTAGTAACATCTGTAAAGTAACTCTATTCTACCTTCTATGAGGTAGCTTTTCTCCACATGAATGGTTAGTGCCTACCAGTGCGACTTCTGAGATCATCATCTAGTACTCCACTGAACCAAAAGCACCTAATGATTAGGAGCAAATAAAAATACTGAATTAAAAAGTACTCCCAAAATTGAAAAGGATAGTTAACAAAAGGCCACTGATTTAACTCATGACCAGAGGTTTCATTTTACATAAAGAACCATTTGTTCTTAGAAAGTGTGACATTTATATAACATGAAAAAAGGCAGTCTGAAGGCTTATGTGCATATATATGCTAATTGCCTTACCCCCTCCCCCCTTTTTTCTGCTTACAATTGACAGTACCCCTCTGTACATACATATTGTATGGATGGTACTACAGCTTTTGTAAATGTTAGCATTTCACATAATTTATATTGATTGAGTCAGTTGTGAAAGTATTAAAGGAAGCCATAATTAACAAATTACCACAGTACATGTATGTTTTAACATTTTATAAAATGAGTATTGATTGATTTAGTTTTAAAATAATAAAAGGAAACCATAGTTAAATAAAATTAAATGTTTATGTGTTAAGGTTAGTTAGAAGGACTTCAGAATATACAGAGTCAGTCCAAATTCAACCCTTAAAGATGTTAAGCTATTTTCTTACTTTGCTTTTTTTCTACATTGTAAGGCCAGTATATGCTTTCCCAGAATAGGTCAATCTCTCATCTAATACTAATCACACTATATGTTCACAAATGTGAACATATGAAATCAACCATTATCTTTGCCTTTAGCTTTTATGGTTTTTGTATTGAAACCTGCCAGGCACATGAGATTATTGTGCTGAAAAATTACCAGTGTAAGAATATGATAGCTCATTTGTTATTGCTCATTTGTATTTGTTACAAACTGCATCATCATATATTCTGAAGAAACTGTTTTTGTTATCTTATACTCTAAAAAGTGATTTTTCAGCATATGTATATGTGTGACTATCTATATGTAGATATACATACATACAACATATAATAAGAATATGTGCATTAAAAATTAATATATGTAATTATTAAAAGCACAGCAGTGAATAATAGTGTGTATGTGTAAGGAACAAATAATTTTGTAGTCTTTAGGGGTTCAATATCTGTAGTTCTTCTGAAAGAAGTTATTGTTTGGTATTCAGTGACTTTTGTAGGACTATATGTCTAAGTTCATCGCCAGCAGATATCCTCCTTGGTTGTTCATAATTAGCAAAATGCACTAATATGAAAAATATTTATCCGTATAAGTTAACTTTTTTCTTTTGTGGTATACACAGAGTCCGACAAACAAGAAATACAAGAACCAACCATATCTGAAGAAATCTTTGACAATAAGTTTCCAGATGTTGAGCTGAAAGAAGAACCCAAAGTTGACCAAGGTAAGGTTGAAAGATCTCAATATTTTCAGCTGAGGTAAATATCTTAATTATTGACTGTGTAATATAGTGATATTTGTGTATATAAAATTAACTGTAATATACAGTGTTCAGTGAGTATATATTTAAATTAGCAATTGCCACGAGTAAGGATAAAAATGTAAACTCAACCTGTCATAACAGGAAATTGACTGAAGATATATGAACAACTTGAGGTATCTTGATTCAAACTACTTTCCATTCTCATTAGCATTCAAGCAAAAACATTCTCAAGTTTTAACAGATATTAGGTCAAATAAGCTCAGTGTCAGTGAGTCGTATGAGCCATCTTTAAATGGCAGTTACCAAATTATTATTTTTTTAACATAGGTACATTTACAATAAATTCAGTATACCCATGAGTACAGATGCTGTTAAGTAAATACATTTAACTAATAATAAAACTGTTTAGTATTTTATTTATGTATGTGATTGGAGGTATCTCTTTTCTTGCTTTTGCTCAGAAACAAAATGGAAAATATGTGTACATATCTTTATTCAAAATTGTATGTCATCATATATGCATATGCAAAAAAAAGTGGAGTTGTGTTTAATGTTACATTGTTTTCATTAATACAAATAAATTCTGTAAGAAGTTGAAAAAATTAGTTTTTAATTATCATCTTTTTTTATACTTTTGAACATAAAACAAACCTGAAAGATGAAGCTAATCTAGGACTACATTTTCTATATAATTAGAGTCAACTGAACCAGAAGAGATTATCACAGAAGTAAAACAAGGTGATACTCAGACTACTCAAACTGAAACAAAGGAGATCCTAGATGATGGCACCATTAGGCATACTGTCAACACAGTTACTAAGATTACGGTTGTTCATGGTGAGTCTTTTGAAGAATTCAAGTGAATACATAATGATCTGTTTGTATTGTGTATTTCTCAGTTTGTGTTTTAACTATAATGATGGTTATTAGTCACATAGAATATAGGGTTTTCCACTATCTTGAAGAGTTGAAGTTTTTCTTTGGGCATGTATATTTGATTAAAGCAGACCTTATTGGTCTTTAAAAAATTTTGATGTGGCACTGAGTGATTAATACTGTGTTGAGTAAACAGTATTTTTAATGTTTAGTTTGTTTGAAAAGTTTTTTTGGTGTACAAAACTTGAAGATAGCTTTTATATGTGGAAACATCTGTTAGCTGAGTTCTTGCACAGATCTTAAAATATAATGTTGATAAACGGAAACATCGGCACATGTGTCCTGTTTACCTAAAACTACCATGGATTGGTAACATTTCAACAAAAATCGAAAAACAATTGAAAACGGCCATTATTAAATA